GAGATAGATTGTAGAGAGGGAGAGCTGCGGTTTTTTTTCCTTATTTGATTTATTTACTTCTCTCTTTCAATATATGTAAATTTTGCCAAACCCATGCTCTGACTCTATTTTATTTATTTATTTATTTATTCAGAATGATAGATTAAATATAACTCAATACAAGTACAATGGACAAGTTAAGTAGCCATACAACTTCCCGAGAGGAAGAATGGGAGCCAGCACATATGCTTGGATATTTATTTTTTTTTTAGTTTGGATTGGTTAATTTTAAAAAATGTGGTATGGTTAGTTGTTAGTGAGTATATTAAAATAAAATAATTATAATTAATTTAATGTACAAGTAGGATATAGAGATTTGAAATGATTGTTAGTTAAAATTATGTGAGTGAATGAATAGTGAATTAAAGTTGATGTGAAGTGTATGATTGTTTGATATTATTTAATTATATTGATAATATTGATGATAGTGGAGTTGAGTTAAAAAAAGTGATTAAGTTAAAAAATATTGGGATTTTTTAGAATAGATTTGTATCCAAGCATCCTCCAGCCCTATAGAAACTAAACCAAGCAAATTAGAATTATCAGAAAGGGCTACGACAAAGACTAAGTTAAGAACCCGCAATCATCAAGAACAATTTTGGGCTTATACTGAAGGAAACCAACTTGCAAAGAAAGATTTACCACTGCTCCAAAGAGAAGCCAAGCATATCAAACTAAAACAGACCCATGGCTAGGTCCATCAGTGCTTTCACCAAACAAGGTAGGTTGTGAGTTGCAATCTATCATCTGAGATGGTAGAAGGAGATAAAGAGCAGATAGAGCTCCACCAACCTTTGAAGCTGACAACTTCCAAATCGAATGTATCCCAACTGACAGGTGACACTTTCCAAGAGACTGGCCCTAGAACAATTGGACAACACATTTTCAAGGCCTTCATTGCTTTCACCACGAATAATGCAAGTGTTATCAACCACAACTCATTTCCTATTGAGTTTTTCTTTGGCTGGCAGTGTGTTGTTGTAGAAGTCCAACTAAAGTGTTTCAACTTTGTTTTTATCTTTAGCCACCAAAGTCTTTTTTTGGCTCTATGAAAGGTAATCTGCTCTGAGCTGCTTTCTGCTTGATCTAAAAGATTCCACTTACAGTCTACCAATTGTGCATAAGTTGAGGCCACTGTAAATTTGCCTTTGGTTCCACAGTCCCACACTAGTCTGTCCTGCTTTCCTGGATCCATGCCTTTGATTATGAGAATGGCCTGAATGTCACTAGGTGAAAAGTTGGATTGTAAAACCTCTAGGTCCCAATGTTTGCTAGTGGGGTGTAACAGCTCACATACTCTATGCAGAGAAGGGGAAGTAAAGTCTATTCTTGAGAGCTTGAAATTTGGATTCCCAAGGATCCAACTATGATCCCAAATATTGACAGCAACACCACCATTAATTTTAAATCTTGCTCCTCCTTGGAGACTGTCTCTCACTTCAATCCAGGAGTTCCACAGGCAGGAGCTTGACTTGGATTTCTGAACAGAGAAGAAGCTTTTGTTGTGGAAGTATTTAGCCTTCAAAATTTTGTTGGACAGGGTGTTTGGGTGAGTATGAAGTCTCCAGGCCTACTTTGAAATTAAAGCCTGATTAATAAGTTGGAGATCTAAAAACCCTAGTCCATCTTTTTCCTTAAAAAGAGTCAACGTGTTCCATGTTTTCCAGTGTATAGTTTTTTTGCTTTCTTTACGCTTCCTCCACCAAAAATCTGAGAGCTTCTGAGATATTTTTTAATTTAAGTTTTTTGGCAGAAGAAAGCAACTCATAGCATAGATTGGCACAACAGTAACCACTGATATGATGAGAAATTCTTTACCTACAAAAGACAAAAACTTATTATTTTTTTTTCAAATTTGAGATTATTTTTACCACTTTTTCTTGAATAAAGCTGAAAGATTCTACCTTAGATCTTCCTAACCTTAAAGGTAGTCCAAGATATCTAGAAGATTTATAGGATTCCTAGCAAGATCTAGAAAATGCTGGTTTGAGAAAAGAGATGAGTGTTTTTACTTAAAAATATATATGATTTTTCAAGATTGACCTTTTGGCCAGAGATTAGGTTATAACGGTGAAGAACCTGATGTATTAAGGTAGCTTGGTTAGAGTCTGCCCTAGCACAAAGGAGAGTGTCATCAGCAAAGGATATGTATTTTCTGATGATCTCAAAGAACCAGGAAGCAATGAGGAAGCACCGTGTATTCCTCAATGGACAGAAGCAGTACACAATGAGTACAAGCATTACAGAGAAACAACACTTGGATTCTATGTCCATTCTCGACAGAAAAAAGAAAAAAAGAAAAAAAAAAGCACCATAGGGTGCAAATGGGTCTTCAAAACCAAAACCAATGCAGATAGAAGCCTAGGAAAGTACAAAGCTCGATTGTTAGCAAAAGGATACAACCAAGCAGCAGGTTTAGAATTTCAAGAAACTTTCAGCTCAGTGATCAAACCAACAACAGTTAGGATTGTGTTATCAATTGCCCTTTCTAAAGGCTGGTCTTTGAAACAATTGGATGTAGCCAATGCATTTCTAAATGGGGACAGAGATTTTACATGGAACAACCACCTGGATTTGAGATTCTTAAGGGGCAAAACATGGTCTGTAAGCTCACTAAATCACTATATGGATTGAAGCAAGCTTCAAGAGCTGGGTCTTGCAAACTTGGAGGCTACTTACTTAACTTGGGATTCACAATATCTAAAGCTGACAGTTCACTTTACATAAGACAATGTGATGGTCATACTATATTGGTATTGTCATATGTGGGCAATCTTATTATAACAGGAAGCTCAAATTCAGAGGTGAATCACCCTCTTGATGCATTGAAATCTTAGTTCACCATGAAGGATATAGGGGATATCAGTTACATTTTAGGAATTGAATTTATCAACATAGAGAATGGAGTGTTTCTAAGCCAACGAAAGTACATTGATGATCTACTTGAAAGGGCGGGGATGAGAGAAGCAAAAGGCCTTAGTACTCAAATGATATCAAGCCATCATTTATCCAAACTAGAAGGTAATCCTTTACCTAATCCCAACATGTATAGAGCTCTGGTTGGGAGCTTGCAATATGCAACTATAATTAAACTCGAGATCAGTTACAGTGTGAATAAAGTGAACCACTACATGAAGTCCCCACTAAATACTCATTGGAGCGCTTTAAAAAGATCCTAAGATATTTATCAAGAACTAAGGATATGAGACTGAGGTTCAACAACAATGCCTCTATGAACTTGGTTGCTTTTGTCGATGCAGTTTGGGCTTCGGACATTGATGATAGAAAATCCACTTCAGGATCATGTCTTTTCCTTGGAAACAATTTGAAATCATAGGGTTCTAAAAAGCAATTAATATTTTATAGATCGAGTACAGAAGCATAGTATAGAAGTTTAGCTCATGGACTGTGTGACATAATTTGGACTAATACCTAATTAGTGAACCGAAGGTTAGCTTGGATAGAATATTTATCATATGAGTGGACAATCAAGGAGCCATATCACTTGTTGCAAACCCAGCTTTTCACTCAAGAAAAAAGCACTTCGCGCTCGATCTACACTTCATAAGAGAGAAGGTAATGAGCAAACAAGTTTTAGTGCAACATGTTCCCTCATGGGAGCAACTGAGTGATATTTTCACAAAACCCTTATCCAAATAATTTTTCACAAGGTTGGGAGATAAACTGGGAGTGGTATTTCATCTCTTGCTCAAACTGAGGGGGATAAAAGTCCAAGCACCCACCCCCCCCACACACACACACCCTCTATGTTAGAAGCACAAGGAAAGAAAAGCGGGCCACATCAGATTGCCATGCACACGTGGACTGGGACCATGGCAAACCTTGGAGATGGAAGAAGACAAACCGAGGGTCATTTTATAATTGGTAATAGCTAGGGGTGAGCATGAGTCGGTACGGTTCGGAGGTTGATGATAAATCTCCAGAACCGTACTGAAGTTCAGAGATCACTAAAATTCAATCTTCAGAACCGTACTAAAAAATCGATTCGGTCCAGTTCAGAGATTTTTATTTTTCAATTCAGTTCGGTTCGGTTTTCAGGACTATAGAAACGGTTCAGTTCGGTTTTGGTTCGGCTCGGATATTCGGAGATTTCTTATCATTTTTTAAAATTATTTAAATGACCACCTAGTTATATTTTATTTTTTATATGTTTTTTTTTTTAAATCCAACATTCATCAAGACTTCATCATACTAAAGATTTTATTTTTAAATCAACTTTAGAAGTAACCCTAAATTTTAGTTAAGACTAAATTCAACTAACATTGAAAATTTAAAATTCAAACAAAATATAATATAGTTTTATATTAAAGTAATATTATTAACCGTCCATACCATGTGAGTTATAACATAAACTAAGGCTAAGGATCGACAACTTTAAGTAAAACTTAAATATTTTTTTATTAAATCTTTAACCATTCATTCCATTTTAATTTTTTTTAAACAAGAGAAATTTAATTGTAGATCAGGTCTTACTAAATATGAAATGTAAGTGAATCTTAATTGTTATTACTACATTTTATTTGCATTTTAAAAAATCTCAAATTATATAGTATCAAATTTACATAAAATATATTAATAACACGCATCTATTTTTATAATTCGATTCTTCGGTTTGGTACGGTACGGGACGGTTGGGTTCGATTCTCGGTACGGATATTTATGAAATCTCTAGAATCGTACCAATTATTTTTTCGATTCGGAGAAAGTCAAACGGTCAACGGATATTTTTCGGCTCAGGGTGATTTCGATTCGGTTTTCGGAACGGTTCGAAATTCTCCGAGTCTGATGCTGTGCCCTCCTTATCTTGTTTGGGTTTAAGTTGTGTGGCTAGCATTGTCCCTCAAGATACTATATATACATTTGTTCATTATTTCGTGTATGTAATGAAAATCAGCTTTCTTTAGTAGCTATTTGTTCATGTCTCATAATATAGAACAAAATGTCAAATCAAGTTTATTCCTGTTTCATGTATGCCTCGATTTTCCTTTAGATATAAGGTCCAAGACTCTGGAGTTTGAACAATCGAAATGAAATAAAGATGTGATTTTGTAAATAAGCCAATAAAAAATACACAAGTATAAATAATAAATACAACTAAATTCGCCAAGGTAGACCCAACCCTCAACCCAAACCACGTTTTCAAATCATACAAAGTAAAAAGATTGCAAAATCATGACAATATGACTATCTCGTTGAGAGAGAGAGAGAGAGAGACGGCATAAACTAGCCAATGTAGTCAATTTAACAACTACAAACTGTCCAAAACAACCGAACCAGACTCCCTACCAAAACCCTTCCCATTATTAATAGACCAAACTTCACCAACTATCTCCCCCAAAGCACCCTCATCACTCAACACAGAAGTATGCGAAACCCCGGGAACCCTCACCACCTTCACCACCGACCCATTCCCCCACGCCGTCTCCAACGCCAGCAGGCTCGCCATATTCACCGTCCCATCCCCGTCCCCATACGCCACCTCATCCGCCCCCTCCTCGAACCCCCGTCCATAAAACAACGTCTCTGGAGTCTCCACACCGCTCCCGACCACGCACGTGGTCGGGACCCTCGGCTCCGGCACCCTCTCCACCAGCGGCCGCACGCGCATCTCGTACGGCCCCACCCCTTCCCGAAAACCAATATCCCCAAGAAACTCCGCAATGCTCCCGCTCGTGTAGCTAACGCCGGTGGGCCCCACGACGAGCGTTTTGCTCGGGTCGAAAACCGCGGGCGACGGGAGGAGCCACAAATTGCTAGGGGCACTCCGCTGCTCGTCACGAACCAGGAGTGGATCGACTAGCGGCACTCCCAAAGTGTTCCCGGAGGCGAAAGTCGACATCTCGTCGACCGTGCCGCCCCAAGGGGCCGACAGGGTGACGAGGTGTTTGACGAATTTTTGGAGCCATGGGAGTGGGGAGTGGTGGAGGAGGTGGAGGGCGTACGGGCCGCCCATGCTGTGGGTGAGGAGGATTACGGGCCGGCCCGCGTTGGAGGAGCTCGCGGCTTCGATTAGGGTTTTGAGGTCGGAGAGGAATCGGGAGGCGACTCGGGAGGGATGACCGTCTGCGGCGGGTGCATACCGGAAGTCGTAGGGTGCGCCGAAGAGGTTTTTGCCGCTCGAGTAGCCGATTTGCTCGAGGGATCGGACGAGGGGTTCCATGTATGATGTGATTCGCCTGCACAAAATTGGAATTAGTGAACTCGAGACACTTTAATGGTGTGGTGTTTTCTTTAGAATTTTATAGTCCAAGAAAGAAAAATTTGTATGCAAATTGTCCAGTTTCACCACATTCTGTCCAAATATGACCAACCAACTAGCTCATTCTATCATATAACTCATGCATTATCCATTTTTATTTTAGAATGAGTTGTATCCTGAAATAAGTAGTGACTAGTGAGGTTAAACTGTTGATAGGGTGGTGTAGAGAATCAAATTTACATTGGGCTAAAGATAAAGAAATTGAATAATAAACAACACTTATGAAAAGTATTGTTTATTAGCCAAAAGTCAACAAACAGGTAAATGTCATTACAATTCATACCTTAATTGAGGTTTGGCCTAAATTACAAGTGCAATCTGCTATTGTTTTCTGATTTAACTAAATGTCATGGTTTATTCCAACTTTCAAATTGAAAGATCATAATAAATAAACAACATAAACATGTAACGATTACTCATACAATAATTTGTGATCTCGGGATATGTTATGAGATTTTTTCTATTAACTCAATGACAAAAATAAGAGCAGAAAAGGAACCTCACTTGAGATTAGGATCAAGATGGAGAAGAGCATCAGTGGAGCCAAAATGTGGGACTCTGGTCTCAACACCAGGGGCATTATGGTAATCATCCTCATCCGGGTCATAGTAGACCATCATCCTCTGGCTGAAGCACTTGGTGAAGGGCCTCAACAGCACACTCGGGTCGAACCAGAGCCTGAACCACCCGTCCGGGTCCTTATTTAGCGGATACCATCGGTTGCACAGCAAGCTTGACGGCTTGTACTTTTCCGTGAGCCTAGCTTCTAATTGGTTGCCACCGCTTCCTGGTATTAATATGACGGGATAAAGCTCTGCGGTGGCTGATGCTTTGGTGTACAGTGCCATGGCCACTGAAAGGGTAATGGCCATTTTTAGGTAGTGAAAGTTCATGGCCAACAAAGGAAAAATTGGAGCTTTATGGGAAATTGGTTTTTGTCAAGTTAGATTGTGTGACTATCTAAATTAGGATTTGGTGGTTGTGGTATAGACAAAGGGCAGCCACAGGATTTCTTCTTGTTTTGGATGACAATCATTTATGCTATTTTGCATTATTTTCGATTTTGGCAACACCAATTACTTTTCCATTTATCCCAACTTTTTCTTGTCAATACAATTGAAAAATATAAATTGACCATTATTCTATATATGTAAAAAAAATATAATATTTATCGACTCAAATATTTTTAACCGTCATAATTATTTTACCACTTTTATGGCTACACATTGAGCTGCACAAGTTGAGCAGTATGATAGTAAATACTAAAAAGTACGTTAGTAACAGTTTGAAATATTTCTAAAAAAGTCTATAAGTGTTTTGAAATTTGTCCAATTACCAGTACTAACAGTAACATTACAATCTCGACGGTCAAGACTCCTAAGAAAAGTTTATAGTTGAACAACATATTCACACGTGTTTTATAACATTTTAAAAGTTGAGTTCCACAGGGTAGGAATGCACGGTTGGACTTTTTTAGGTATATCATCATTATGTCTACAATGTTTTTCCCCAATTTTTATTTCTTGATGACGACGTTGCAAGTACATAACGGCCTCCCAAATAGGCGTGACCGATCTTTCATATCATTATAACCCGTTTGAACACAAATATTAAGGACATCACACATACACCGAATATAAAAAAATTTTCCACCATAAGGGAGATGACGAATTTCTCTAAGCTCATTTAAAGAAGAAGTATTAGCACTGACACTATCAAAAGAAATGAAAAAAAAAATGTTGTCAATTATATAATCTTGTATAAGCAATTCAACATTTTAGTAATGTAAAAATATCATCTATCCAATGAAAAACAATTCCCATATAATCAGACCAAATGTCACAACAAATAAAAACTCTTTGGCTTAAATTTACAAAAGTTTGTACCAAAATTAATTTTCATCACTCACAATATTTCGAATATCTCGAGTGAGAGTAGTACGTGGAACCCGAGATGCAACCGAGTTTGAAGCTATTTGAGCAAAATTTTCATACAAGTCAGAATCACCAAAACTGAAAGGAAGAGATGAAGAAGAAACACATTCAACTAGATTACGTCTATGGTTTTTCCAAGAGTAATGAAATTAAGAAGAAGAACAAGAAGAAGAAGAACCCGTTCCAGTCACAGATGCAGTGCTACTTCTGGATTTGTGTTTGGGTCATGGAAATCCCCATTTCGGACAGATGAGGTGTCCGTACGTGTCGTTGCATGGTTTCGTACCCATCGCTGGTTCTTAAATCGTACTTATTCTTGGCGTTTGGCGGACAGTGGTTGCAAATTCATATAAAATTTTTGTCACCTTTTCTCGTATTGGGCACCTTCGTGAAATGCCTTGTCAATATGTTGGATGTCAACTATCGAACCCCGCCGACGGCAGTCCGTTGAGGACCTTTAGGTTGGCATTGAGTAGGATCAATATCGTTGTCATATGGCTCCTCCTGGTCCTCGTCCTTCTCAAATTGTAAGCTCTCGTGAATTTCATTAATAGTTTGAAAGATGCGTTGGACCACAGCAGGCTCAATGTCATCAGGTAGACTTAGAACGTATCGTCGGTGTCGGCAATGGAGGTTGACCACACGTACACACGCCTACTTTTTTATGCTTTGGTGGTCACCCATCACGACACTCGAAATTTTATAACTTGTATAGATTTATAAAACAAAAACGGGAGGTAAAAATGACAGAAATGAGAGAGCATTATGTAGCGAATTTATGGAACCAAAACTGAAATGAGAGAGGATTTATAGGATTGAAACCGAATTGATCTAAAACCAGGCACAAAATTAGAGAATATGAACAAGAGTAGAGATGAAGAAATTGAGTAAAATATAATGTTGGTGTAAATTTTCAACATTGGGCGCGGTAGGAATATTTTGTAGATTTTTTTTAGATTTTTCATTTGTTTTTTAATTAATTAACAACTTGTTCTGGGTCGGCTGGACAGTTCAAATTAATTCTAACCGTTGAATCTCAACGACCAATTTAAAAAATCTGACATGTTGGAGATTCAAGGTCCGGTTTTAGTTCTGAACTGGTTACAAAAAATCAAAAATACAAATTCCAAGAGTAAAAATCAAACGGTTTAGATTTAATTTTACGCTGGGTCTTATACCAAGCCCAACCCAGCCCGGCCCGAAATCAAAATAGAAAAAAAAAATATATTAAAAACACTAGCGGTCCTTTGGGCCAGTTTCGGGCCGTTCCAAAACCGAGACAGGCGGTTCATAGCATTATTATTTGGGAAAAAAACTTTTAACCTCTCAAAGTATGCCATTTTTTAGAGTTTGTCATATAAGCTCTTTTTTTTTTTTTAATAATTTGCCTCTCAATATAGTCGAAACTGACAATTTGCCTCCTCAATTGAAAACTCTAATATGACACAAAAGAGTTTTTAACTCAATTAATGATAAAATTTAAATTAATCTTTAAAAATAATTTAGGGCTTCTAAAGCCCATGGCGAGATGAACAAAATTAGGCATGATTTGTCGAATTCTAAAAATTGATACCTCTATAATCGATCTACGAAGAAAGTAGGAGCACGTGTGTATAGAAAAAAATTCAATTCAAGTTTTCTGATAACCAAGATATCATGTGATTCACCTCTGAGGACGACCCTCTTTCATTTGCTTACGAGTAACTTCATTTTTTTAGATTTTTCGTTTGTTTTTTAATGAATGAATAACATATTCTAGGTCGGCCCGACGGTTAAAATTAATTCTAATCGTTGGATCTCAACGGTCAGTTTAATAAATCTGACTGTTGGGGGTTCGGGGTCTAGTTTTAGTTTTGACTCGGCCCGCACTGAACAGATTACAAAAATAAAAATTTCAAGGATAAAAAAATCAAGGGCGTGCTTGTTTATGAAATATTTCATTCAAAATGAGTTATTTTATAGTTAACTATAGTTAATTTTGAAAAATGTAGTATGGTTAATTGTTAGTGAGATTTTAAGAATGTATTAAAATAATATTTAAAATAAAATGATTAAAATTGATTTGATGTAAAAGTAAGAGATAAATGATTGAAAATGATTAGAAATGATAGGTAGTTAAAATTATGTGAGTGGATGAATAGTGAATTAAAGTTGATGTGATGTGTAAGAATGATTGGTTTGTATTATTTAATTATATGAATAATATTAAAAATAATGATGTTGAGTTAAAGTTGAATTAGATTTTAAGTATGAATTGGATTAAAAATGAAATAATTTATAAACAAGCATGCCCCAAACGATTCAGATTTAATTTCGGGTCTTATATTGGGCCCAACCCAACCTGGCCCAAAACCAAAAATTGAAAAGAAAATATTAAAAATGGCGGGCCTTCGGGCCAGTTTCGGGCCGTCCCAAAACTAAGACCGGCGGTTCACAACATTATTATTTTGTGAACCTGAACTAGCTCGGGTAAAACCACGAGGTTATCATCTGGCTTGATCTGTTCGGCCCGAAAGAAAAGCTTGAAGAACCCTAAACCATAGACGCTTCCACAAGCGTTGTTCTGCTTCAATTCCCGAGCATGAAGCCTGCGATTCACCTCTGAGAGGATGACGCTCTTTCATTTGCCTAGGCTAGTAACTTCTCCTCTCTAATCGAATGCTTTCGCTTATTCGGTTCAATTAATTTCGGATGGCGCTACACGCGCTTCTGCGCAGAAATCTCACCTCTTTGTTCTCGGAGAATTTGCTATCCTCAACGATTTCCAATGGCAGTTTATCTCTCTCCATCGCACATTTCTCCACCGCTATTCGGACAAAACCCTCTACCTCACCTTCATTTTTCGAGTTCTTGACGCACAAACACCAGTTCTCCCCTGAGGTGGCTTCACGCGCCGCCTCCATTTTACCCCCTTCGAATCACCCCGAAAAATACGAATCAGTGCTCTCCTTTTTCGAGGAGGTCGGATTCACAAAAGCCCAGGTGGAGAAAACCTTGTTAATCCGGCCCCAGCTGCTCTCGGCCGATCTCGAGAAAACCATCAAGCCCAAGATCAAAATTTTCCAGGACTTTGGCTTACCAGCTGACGACATTGCTGTCATAATCTCGAGAGCGCCAACAATCCTGCAATCCAGCCTTAAAAAAAAGCTTGTCCCAGCGTTGTCCTGGCTAAAGGGCCTGTTGGGTTCGACTGAGAAGTTGGCCCGAGCTTTGAAGCAATCCGGGTGGCTGCTTACTGGGGATCTTGAAAATATCACTTTGCCCAATGTCCAGAACCTGATGAGCCATGGCATGTCCAGTGACCAGGTCGCCAGGCTTATCACTTATATGCCGCGGGTCATACTCTGCAAGCCGGAAAGTCTAAGCAGATGCTTGGAAGTCATGGATCAAATGGATGTCGTTTGGAGTTCGAACATGTCCGTGTATGCTGTTGGGGTCATTTGCTCGATGCCGGATGGGGCTTGGGAACGCAAGCTGCAGGCTTTTCGGGAAATTCTGGAATTCTCAGAGGATGACATAGTTAGGGTTTTGAGGAAAAATCCCATTGTTTTTTCTTCATCTGAGGATAAGATGAAGATGGTCAAACAGGTTGTACTTGGGACCGGAAAATATGAGGCCTCGTCGATTGCTAAATATCCGAGGTTGCTCCTGCACAGCATTGAGAGTCGGTGCAAGCCACGGTTTGAGGTTCTTGGGATTTTGGAGAGCAAGGGACTGATCAACAAGTGGCCTTCTCTAGGATTAATTTGTGAAATGACAGACGAAAAATTCTTCAAGGAATATGTTGGCCAGTATACGAGTGAGATTGGTGAGAATTATCTGGACAAGAGAGCACTCAGTTGCAAAAAGAGAGGTAAAACTTGTTGAAGCTGGTTAACGGCCTGGATGCTTTTGCTTTGCCTGTGTTTCTTTGTGGTGACTAAGAAAGAATAGGTAATTGGTCTTTTGTTGCATTCCTGCTTCTGACTAATGTCATCGTCACTTCGATCTTATCAATGTCATTAATGTCATCATCCTTTTGAAGCATTGATTTAATTTAAGGTACCTTTGTTATTTGTTGTTGCGCACTTAATGAAATGTTTATTTAGCTCATTCTGGAAGGTTTATTTAGTATATTATAAAGATATCTAACTATGTAAAATAACTAGTATTTTGTGTTTTAATTTCCTTTTGAGTGATTTGGGTGAGACAACGATTCCTGTTGAAGTACAGTGTAAGCCTGAGTAGAATGGAATTTCGGCCAACTGAGCAATGGAAAGTATTGAAATAATAATCCAATAAAATTGCAAAGTATATCTTCATTTACTGTGTTGACCCAAAATTAGATAACCAAGATGTTTGTCCTCTGAATCTCTGACCCTCATTAGCATTAACACTTGTATGCAAAGGTCGAACCGTTTAATCTGAAAGACTTGATTTTTCGTTTCACTCTCTTTCCTTTGATTTTGTACAGAGGAGACAAAATATTGCTGATTGCTTGCCTCCCCAGCAGTTTATCTTCTGAATTGGTTTCACCAGTTGCCTCTGACTTAACACAACTTCAAACCTAGGAAAAACTGTACTTCCATTATTCAAAGAGAGCCCCGACGACTATGTGTATATTCAATAGTCAGTTGGCTAAGATAATGTTGGACTCAAAAGATCATTCAAAAACCAATGGCATTGTTTATTTCAATGAGATTGCTGACATAATTCATATAACCAAAAAATTTAACATATGAACCAAAGATAATGCACGTTAAGCAAAATCAGCCTTAGACCTGAGCATAGGCAGGGATGGTTATGATATGATCGGCGTTTGGTCTGCGTTTGGGGTCGGAGTGTGATCGTCTTCAGGTGTTGGCTCTGTGTGGTGGTGGTTTGGAGTAGCTTGTCGGCTGTAGGATAGGATTTTATGATTTTTTTTAGTTATTCCGAGTGTGTTCTGTGTTTGTTTGTGTAATTCTGTGTTAGTGATTTGTGGGTTCTATGTGTGTTGTGTTTGTTGAGTAGTGTTATTCTCCTAGAGAGGAGTTCGTATTGTCCACGAGTGAGAGTGTTGTAGGCATTGGCGGATACCTAAATTTTCATGAGCCTGGCAAAAAATTGGAACAAAACATACATATTAAGGGAAAATATTAATAATAATACTCCAAGTTTACCTATTTTAATTATGATATTCTATATTAATCATATTTAGCACTTTTTGATAGTTGATGGCGTCTTAGTAAATATCTGATTTTCCATCGAAACATACAACTCTAATAACATATGTACCAAGTAATCTGTGTTATATTCTGAAATTGATCGAAATTTTGAATCTTTGTNGACATTTTGAATCTCTAAAAACAAGTAAATGAATCTGTTGCATAAGAATCACATCCGAAAACTATGTCCATCAATTTTTCCATAATCCAAAGTTCCGATCGATAATCAAGGTGTCAAGTTGGTTTGTAAAAAATTATTCTTTCTAATAATGTTTTTTTAATTTTATGAAAATCTATCAACTATATCTTCAGTTGACCACCGTTTACAAATAAAGAAGTAATAAATTCATCTGATTAGTATATAAAAGTTCCCAAATTTTGGAAACTGGAAGAATTTTTCTCTCACCTTAATTAAAGAAAATTATATATTATTAGAAAACTAATATGAATAAATTGGATTTGACTCAATTTTGATTGATTGTTTTATGACTAAATATTTAATTCGAATTGAATTAAATTGTGTAGAAAAATTCTATGAGTAGATTGATATATTGAGCTTCTCAAAATTGATTTTCGGTGAGTAGAAAATAAATGATTAAAAATAACCATTAATGAGCACGTAAAATGTTGGTTGTGGGATTTGAAGTATCAAGAGTCATTTTACATATTAGACTCTTAAATGAGATTAACTCTCTTTACTATAATAAAGAGAGTTGAAAATGTCGCAACAATAATTAACTATGAAATAAGTGTTGCTGATGGCTTCGGCAGGCACACGCCCGCCAGCCGACTCGGCTTTAGCATGAGCCTGGGCCTTGGACCTTGGCAATTGGCAATTTTATTATGCAAATTTATTTGCAAAATTCTTGTCCAAAATGAAATTCATACCGACTTTGGTTTGGATTCGAGTTTTGACCCAACCCGCATGAGACCCGTTCCAAACACATTGTATCTGGACATGTTGACTCCACCTGACCGCATCAGATGCAGTAGTGATGTGTTAACACCTGAAAAACGGTCTGACCATTTTGACGCCCTTAACAACAACATTCGTTGGGTTGTTACCAACCTTAAGTGGCAGCTGACTTCTGGCTTCCCCTGCCTGAGTTGATAAATAAAAGTTCTTTGGTTGCAGCGTACACATTGATTATCTGCATACTCCTCTGAAATAGTATAATGCATCATATTACATACAAGTGCTCCGTTCTCGACTCTGTTCAAGTTCGTTGGAGCTCGGAAATTTGGTATGCTATAACATTCGAGACGTCAACCGTTGTATCTTTGAGGACGAGACGCCTAAACCCGTCAACACATCACGGACATATTCGTCATGCAGAAAGATCAACACTCGTATCGGCTATTGTCTTTTCGATGACTTGGTGGTGAAGTGGTTGTTATCGCCGTCCACCTTGATTGTGGCGGTTGGAAGTAGGTCAACGCCTTTATTTTCCCGAATCCGTTCATTTCTCTGGGTCTGGATGGAGGGTTCCTCTGGCAAGTCTTATTCCTCTCATGATGAAATTGACTGCGATCGCTGGTGGTGGGGGAGGTGAAGGATGCTGGCCTTTTGGGAGCTCTGTGTCGGTGGTGATCCCTTTGGAAGGAGGACCTAGTTCATTTGTTCGGATGTAATCAGCCATTTTTTGAGTTTCTAGATCTGTATCTTTGGTCGTTGTTTGGTTTTTCTTGGGTGATTTGTCATCGGGTGTTGGCTCGAGTGGTGGGATTTTGGAACAACTTGATGGCCGTTTGGGAGTGAGTTACTTTAATTTCTAAGTTATTAGAGTTTTTCCCTTGCTGTGTTTGTTCTAGTGTTTTTGTGCTTGTACCGTAGTATATTCACCTATGGAGTTAATTTTTCACTTGTGAGAGCAGTGTAGTATTGTCAGTTCGACTAATTTTGTGTAGACGTCTTACTAGATTTAACTGTGCAGTTGCTTGATCCGACTGATTATTTTCTAAACTATAAATAGGTATAAATATGTGTATTTATTTATAATAAAAGTCTATTATTTAAAAAAAATAGTTGTTTTACTATTTCGTGCAACAATCATTATTTATTATTATTATTATTATTATTATTATTATTATTATTATTATTATTATTATTATTATTATTATTANATTATTCTCTAGACTTTTGAGCAAAAAAGCTAATTTTATATCATTTCGGAAAATGGTTTGGTTGACCTACAAAAATGACATATGAACATATCCGGTGAAAAAACAAAGCTCGAAGAACCCTAAACCCTTCCATAGGCGTTCCGCTTCAATTATCGAGTCTGAAGCCTGCGATTCACTTTCTTGCTCTGAGCACTACGCTTACATTTGCCCGGGAGAGTAACTTCTCCTCTCCAAACGAATGATTTCCATTACTCCGTTCAATTAATTCCGGATGGCGCTACACGCTCTGCTGCGCAGAAATCTCACCTCTTTCTTCTCGGAGAATTTGTTATCGCCAACGGTTTCCAATGGCAGCTTATCTCTCCACATCGCATATTTCTCCACGGCTATGGAGACCAAACCCTCCACCACACCTTCAGTTTACGAGTTCTTGACGAACAAACACCAGTTCCCTCCTCAGGTGGCTTCACGCGCCGCCTCCATTTTATCCCCTTCCATTAATCCCGAAAAATACGATTCGGTGCTCTCCTTCTTCAAGCAGATCGGATTCACAAAATCCCATCTGGAGAGAATCTTGATAAACCGGCCCCATCTGCTCGCAGCCGATCTCGAGAAAATCATCAAGCCCAAGATCAAGGTTTTCCAGGACAATGGCTTCCCCTCCGACGACATTACCGCCATAATCTCGAAAGAACCAATGATCCTCCACGTCAGCCTGGAAAACAAGCTCGTCCCAGCACTGTCCTGGCTAAAGGACCTTTTTGGTTCGATTGACAAGGTTGCCCGAGCTTTGAGGAAATCCGGGTGGCTGCTTTTGGGGGATCTTGAAAATATCACTTTACCTAATGTCCAGACACTGATGAACCGTGGCATGTCCAGGGACCAAGTCGTGAAGCTCATCAATTATATGCCACGGGCTATACTCTACAATCGGGAAACTCTAAGCAGATGCTTGGAAAACATGGACAAAATGGATGTCGTTTGGACTCCTAAAATGTACATCTATGCTGTTGCCACCTTCTGCTCGATGACGGGTGAGGCTTGGGAACGCAAGCTGCAGGCTTTTCGGGAAATTCTGGAATTCTCACAGGATGATATAGTTAGGGTTTTGAGGAAAAGTCCCACTGTTTTTTGTGTGTCTCAGGATAAGATGAGGATAGTAAAAAAACTTTTACTGGGGACTGGTAAATATGATGCCTCGTCGATTGCTGAATTTCCGAGGGTTCTCTTGTTCAGCATTGAGAAGAGGTGCAAGCCGCGGTTTGAAGTTCTGGGGATGTTGGAGAGCCGGGGCTTGATTGAAGAGTGGCCTTCTCTCTGTTTGATCTGCAGTTTGACAGACGAGCAGTTCTTTGAGGACTACGTTGCCCCATATAAGAGTAAGATTGGTGAGGGTTATCTGGACAAGAAGGCAGTCAGTTGCAAAAGAGAGGGCAAACTTGTGCAAACTGGTTAACGGCATAGAGGCTTTTTGCTTTGGCGGTGTTTTTGCGTCTGGGGGAGAGGTAATTGGTGTTAAACAGAAAAAATATGACTTTATATTTGATTTCCTGCTTCTGAATGTCATGTGTTTTGTCTTGAGGACTTCAATTCTTGTTTATTATTCGTGCCTATTGGATCTCATCAATGTCATCATCCTTTTGAAGAATTGATTTTAATTAAGGTGCCTTTGTTATTTGTTGTTGTGCACTTAGTAAATTGTTTATTTTCTTGCATATATAGAGATCTGAGCTTATGCAGAAAAGTCGGTACTCCTCCCCACAACAAGTGTAGGGGAGTAATATTTTTATTTTTGAAGTATTTCAAAATATACCCTCGAAGATAATTACAGTTATAGTTTTATAATTCTATTTTGTTGATGGTCACACATTTATATAGGGGAAAAATGGAACTGGATATTCTTAAGTACTCGATTTAGTGAAACGAGTCTTATCTTTGTTGAATGGAGGGAAACAGATAGAAATTAGAATATATTGAGTGAGTTCAAGTGTGTTTTTGGCGTGCTTCTTTGCTTATCTCAGTGTATTCGTCATTGAAAAGGGTCTTAAGGGGAACATATATATTTGTTCTTTGAGGTTACATGTTCGTAAATAGTCCCTAAATTTTAAATATAATGAAATGGTTCCATGAGAATTCAGAAGTTGCTTTTCATGCCAAATATAAGGCAATGCAAAGAATAATGATGGTTTAAGTTTAAATGAGTCTGGTACATTGAGCAAATTTAGTGAATTATAATTTCAAGATAATTCAGAAGTTGGCTTTCATGCCAAATATAAGTCAATACAAAGAATAATGATACTCAGAGGACAATGAATCTGATATATATTAGCTAATAGTAAATTATAATGATACTAACTATGTATAATAGCTAGTACTTTATATCTCGATTTATTTGAGTGATTTGAATGAGATAACGATTCCTGTTGTAGTTCAGTGTAAGTCTGAGTGGAACGAAATGTTGAACAACATTTACCGTGCATAACCAAAATTATGACAAACAGGCCTATTTTCTATTTCAACCTCTCTCACTTGATTTTATAATGGGTAACAAAGTATTGTCGATTGCCTCCCCTGCAGTTAGTTAATCTCCTGAATTGACTTCGCTAGTGGCCTCTGACTTAACATGACTAAAAACCTAGGAAAAAATGTACTTTCATTCTTCAAAGAGAGTCCCTTCATATATGTTCAATAGTCGGTTAATATCTTGAAGATAATAGTATAATACTGAACCGAAAAGATCTGTAAATAACCGAAGTCATTGTTTTCTTTCAATGACATTGCAGCCATAATTCCTGTAAACCACACAATGGTACTTTTGAAATTTGCCTCCAAGAAGGAAAAAAAAAGGCCCCATGGACCTCAACCTAGTGGTATTTGATGAGGCCTAGGGTTGGCTGTTAAAACGTAAGTTTCATGTGTTATTTAATTAATGGAAAAGAGATGAATTGATAGAATTACATACGTAGGGTTTATTCAATGTCGTCTAATAGTTATGAATATGATCGTTAAGTTCTAACTGAATTCTCTTGATGTATGGACTGAGTTACTGTAATTGATGATGTATCTTTTTCGATATCTCGCCCAGTGCAAGCTGACGAGGTATTAAGCTGGCTATAAAAGGAATTTGCTCGTCTTCATCAAACAGCAAACAACGATCTATCCATCTATCCATAGTAGTTGATCAGCATGACGAAGAATTGTTCTATTATTTTCTCCCTGTTGACCAACGCCATTTGACCACTATGGTCGGCATTTGTATTGGAGAAGTTGATTATTGTTATGCATTGATAATAATAATAATATGCACGAGTCGTGCAGTGTCGTTCTATTTGAGTTTTCTGTGCACTTGGAATTGGAATTAATGTAGCTACTAGTATGATGTGCACGAGGGATTAACTTTACTTTTTGTGTGTCAACTTTACAATCTATTATTTAAAAAATCTTAAGAAATTGCAAATTTGGTCCGATAAGATGCGTTGTATTGCAAATTTGTTAACAAAATAAAAGTGTGAAAATTGCAAGATTGGTCCTACGTGCAAATTTGGCCCCCAGTTATGCAAAATTGGTTAATGACATTTTTTGGTTGGAAAAATAGTGTTTCAAAAATTAAGAACCAATTTTACGTTCATTTTTTTTAAAAAAAATTAAAGCATATATATTGCATATTCAGTTTATTTTAAATTAGTAAATATATTAAGTTATAAAAAACCTATTTTTCAATGTTATTATTTATTTTATTTAAGTTATTAATAATGTTACCAGCAATTCGTACTTAGCACATATGCTATTGGAATAAGATCAATAATAAAAAAAAATTAATAACGAAGTGGTAAAATAATTCTAGAATTTAAAACAAAAATTATTATATTTTGATGAATTAATAAATAGCTAATAGTTTGAGATGTGGATAATTTTGTAAAATATTAATACAATAAAAATATAAAACAACATTTCTTATGATTTGATGCAAAAAATTTGACAATACTTTAAGTAATTTACATCTCATAATAGATAAGATTCTAAGGACCGTACGGATCATTACACCGACAAAAGTATTGGTTCAATGGTTCATTAATCAGACCAGTATTTGAATCGGTTAGATCATTTTAATTAAATATTTGTTTAACTTATATATTAATTTTAACAATATATTTTATATATAAAATCATCGTTAATTGAAAATTTACACAATTTGATATATTCAAATATTTAAACTAATGATATGATAATTTTTACATATCCAATATATTTAGATTTATAACTTTACTATATAAAAAATATATTCTAATATATTAAAACTAATTTATTATTTTTTTAGAAAGGACAAAAATTGACCTGTCGGACCATTTGGTTTTTGGTCGATTTTGGTTTAATCAATCAAAGGTCGTTTCTTGACAGATTCACTGACAATCGATTGGTTTTAGCGAACTAAATCGATCAGTTGACTGGTGTTTGTAGAATTTTAGGAGAATAGATTGATAACCGAGTTAATTGAAACCTCATGTCGTCTCTCAAAGAAGACTATTTGGACCTTCTTTCACTTAGTTTTCAAACGCACAAAAAGGAGAAATTAAAGTCCTAGACATTCTAAGCAATTGATATGGGATGGTTTTAGACTAATTTTAATCAAGGAAATTAAGAGCAACAACAACAACAACATAGTCTTTTAGTCCCAAGCAAGTTGGGGTAGGCTAGAGATGAAACCCAAGAGAACCAATGGTAAGAGAAACACAAAACAAAAAGGGCTCAAAACAAAAGAAAGAGATTGGAGCAAAAGAGAAAGGAGCAAATCAAGGAAATTAAGAGCAATTAACTAAAATGCAAACTTTAATTAAAGATCTAAACTTACCTAAATCGAAGTGTTCAAAACCCGCGAAAGAGCTAAAACAAGAGAAACAAGTCACACCTACTGCAACTAGAACCAAAGTTGAACAATTGATTACGAAATAACCGACCTAAAAACTAAGTCTCGATTTTTACTTCACAAAATTCGAACTTTAACTACCCATCACACTAGATAAGCAAGATAAAACCAAAGCTAGGAACTTAAACTTAAACCGAGCCTACACACATAACTCCGGCCAAGACACGAAATCAATTTTGAACAAGTTCATAAGTTAAAAGGACCAAAAATCTAAGTAATAAGTCCTAGGCAAGATACTTACTCTTCTATTTCGAGCTCGGACGAAATTAGTGCAAAAAGATAGAAACTGTAATTAATAACGGCATCGCCGGAAAAAAGTCGAGTTTTGAAGCTCCCAAGAACATGAAAATAGAGAGAAAACTGAAAAATAGCTAAATCCCAAAATGGAAAAGTGAGAAATGAAGTCTAGGTGTTCCAAATGCAAAGGAGCAAATATATTTATAATACCATCCAAAACACATAGTAGAAAAACACACAATTTCTAAACTACACTTGATAGCTAAGGTTTCTGGTGGAAAATTCACTAGGCGAACACGGACAATGTTTGTTGGGCGAGCTGTTCGCCCGGTCTCGTGTGCTGGCGAGTGTGCGGCCGGGACGAGTGCGCGGGCGAGTGCAGCAGGTGGACGGGTCACTGGGCGCTCACGCGGGTGAGAGGGCGGATATTGCGCTGGCTGTTCTAGCAGTCGTGCAGGCTAGGGGTCTGGCGGGTCTCGCGCGGGATGCTCGCATAGACCCGCGGGCGAGGCAATTGGCTGGTCTCACGCGGGATACTCGTTGTGACGAGCGCATCTCTACGAGCACACTGGCGGAATGCTCGCGCGACACTCCTGCGCGAGTGGGCGGAATGCTCGGTATGGTATGGTTCGGTTCGGTTCTCTTCTCGGTACGAGTATTTGTGAAATTTCCAGAATTGTACCAATTATTTTTTCGGTTCGGTTCGGTTCGGAGAAAGTCAAATGGCTAACGTTTATTTTTCGGTTTGAAGTGATTTCAATTCGATTTTTGGAATGGTTCGGAATTCTCCGAGTCCCATGCTCAACCCTACATCTGACTAGTAAACTATTGAATTAGTAGTTTGATCGGTTCAATTATTAGTATTGTTGAATCAATTAATCCTGTCATCTAATTCCCAACACACACCAGAAGAAGAATCACCCTAACATATAGAAACTAGCTCGATCCAATTAGAATTGATGGAAGTTTTATTAGATTCCCGCAAGAAACAAACAAAAAAGTTATACTCCAAATAATTTATTCCCAATACCATACAATATCCTAACGGTGCTCTCTGCCTGGTCCGTCGCCGTTTTCAGACCATCCTGCTCACCACCTCCAAATTCATCTTCACAAGTGTCCATATCAATGTTAACTCTCGAGACATTGACGAGAAAGTCATCTTTGGTCACGATCATGCTGCTGTCGGGTTTTGTCAAGTAATTCAAGATCTCGTCAATGTCTTCTATGGCAGAATTGTCTATCTCAACGCATTCCACGCGTGGGCCGCCAATCTTCTTGGTGACTGCAATGAGGTCTTGGATGGCTGATTTAGCTATTCCGACAACGATTATGCCCAGGCTTTTGACATCGGGCGCCGCACAAGCGGCCGGGTTGGACCTTAGGGTTTTGGTGCAGAAATCGGGGATTTTTGTTGCGGAACATACGTCGGATATGAGATCAGCACGGCAATTGCACAGTAAGGACAATGAAAGGGTAGCTAAAATAATGAAGAGGGAGGCCATTGATGTATTATATATTTTGTGTGCATTTGTAGTTTGAGCCACACGAGTTTAAATAGCTGCTGAAATTCAGGATTTGTGGAAAGCTGAAATTTGATTTACTGTGCCCGGAAGATTTATGCACAAAATCTGAAACATGGATTCTAGGCAAAAATAAATAAATAAATAAATTATTCCCTAAATTGAAATTTGTCCGAAAAAGGTTACATGAAATTTTGTGTCTCATAAAAGCTTTGTAGATTGCTTATAGAAGGAAATGCTATGTAGCCATCCGATCCTGATTTTNTTCATTAAGTAAACTCATAATGTACATACAAGGGTAACCAACAGGTTACTAGTCTTTGCTCATCAACTAACCACAATAGCCAAAGAGCAGAAAGACCCGGGGAAACTAAACACAGTACCCCTATAAGACCAGCATGGCCATACAAGCAAAACAGCAACAACATGTATATACAATCTACATACTGAAAAGAAAACCTACCCAACCAAAATATACATTAACATTTCTGCACAAAACACCACTTTTTCATAGAAGCCAACATGAAGAAAATGTCTTCCGCCACCACAGCAACCTCAGAATTAAAGAGTGCTTGATCATTTAATTTTCTTCTTAGCATCTCATTTTCAACCTGGATGATGACTGATTGCCATTGACAATGCTGATTTTGGAGCAGCCATTCCCTAATTTTTATGAGTTCTTCTTCTTCTGAATCTTGCTGTGAGGTCTGTTCTGTTCTCCACTGTCCCTTTGATCCACCAGAGCTCGGCCTTTCACTTTATACACTGCATTTGAGACCACATTAGCACTGAGAGCATCACTCTGCTCCCCTACTCCTTGTGTCTCTCCAGTGATTGACTCCACAGCTACCCGAGCCTTATCTATCTCCTTTATGGGCCTAGTGTAGAGATCATATTCTCTCCATTCTTTATATGCCTTATTTACTACTGACAACTCATTGCACCATTCCTTTTTGAACAACCATCCATTCCGGGTTTTCCACATCCACCATAAAATGTAGGTGGATATTCCAGGTTTTCCACATCCATTCCGGGTTCTCCATTCTTTATGGGCCATCCGATCCTGATTGAAAAACGTATTCTTCTGAGAATACGTTTTTCAATCAGGATGGCCTGTTCATAAAAATATGGCTGTTAGGCAATTTCATACATCAATTTTGATGGCACTTTTATAACTCTAATTTTTCAAATAGATGTTTTTTATGTGTATTTTTGCTTTCAGTTCAAAATTTTGGGATCAATTATTTTCAAAAAGAGGTTTAAGGCGGTGATTGGCAAGCAGTCATAATCAGCTAAAATGCATTAAATATAGATCTTGAGTTAAAGAGAATTATTTTAAATAAAATTGATTAATTGAGAGAGATATTATAATTAAATAATATTTAAAATATAATCATTAAAGTTGATATAATGTAAAAGTAGGATAGAGATGATGGAATTGATACGTACTTAAAAATGTGAGAGTGAATGAAACCAAAACTGACCTCTTTAAGTTAATAATATTTTGAGAACAGAAATGCTATATAGGCACCTCTTAATTTTTTGTTTGGATGTTTATCGTACGTCAAAATCATATACTTACACATTATTATCAAAATATAAGAATTCAAATTAGGAGAATTCTTATGAAAATACACAAAATAATTCATCAATATTTTGCTAATCCATGCATAAAAAATAATGTATCGAGAATAACTTACTAGAATGTAACCAATGAAACGCATGTTGCTTTTAATGAATTACGAAATTACTAATTAGAATTCAATTAACAAGTACATTTTACTTTTATGGATGATAATTTACTTTTTAAAAGCACATATCGAAATTATGTAAGATAAATGTATAATTTGAAGAATTTACCAACTAAGTTTACTTATAATCATATATCCTAATATACTTATATGAATTAATTAGCTATCAGCTACACAATATTCTCAGAACTTACTTATAACTTGTAAGTCTGAAATTTATTTATCACATATTACATAAAATATAATACATTTCCAAAATTAAATGATCTAATTTTATAAATTTTGGAATGAAATATATGTTTCGAGCGCATATTCTAATAGAGGGGTTCGTTGGTGACGCATAGCAAAAAACGACACTCAATTCCGAGTTCGGACCAGCCCAAACGAGCCCGAAACGTAAAATTGCGCAATGCAGTCCAAAGTCGCGACTCGTGAGACCAAAGTCGCGACTCGCGAGATGAAAATCGCGACTCACGAGAAAAACTTAGGCTTAAGGAGCAGTTCCGTGTCGAAGTCGCAACTCGCGAGTTAAGGTCGCGACTCGCGACTTGGGTCGCGACCAGCCCCAGAATATTAAAAAAATGACGACGCGCGACTCGTGAGGATGTCGCGACTCGCGACCGAGGAGAAGGCAATGTCGCGACTCGCGACTGGGCCGATCCTGTTTTTATTTTTGCTCGTTTTTACTCGTTTTAGCTCCATTTTTCGCACACTATATGTTGTAGCAAATTTTGTTTTATATTTTTCCGAGCACCGAGTTAAAAACTCGTTTCCCGGGTCGATCTCAAGGACTGGTCAATCGAACTATATTATGTGTAATTCAATTTCTTTTATATATATAATAATGCAGAAAATTAATCCAGATTTTTGCTTGATTACAACTAGAAATTTACATAACATTACAGAAACAGAAGAAAGACATTAAATAACAGAAAGTCAACTGGAAAAGCAAAACAGTAAATAACAGAAAGTCAACTGGAAAAGCAAAACAGTAAATAACAGAAATAATTTACAATAGTAGTAATAATAGTAATAATAATATTAATAATAATAGTAATAATAATAATAATAATAATAGTAGTAGTAATAATAGTATATAAACAGAAAGTAAATTGCAGAAA